CCCGATCCCCACCCTATGCTGCCTGCCCCTCTCTCATCAGGAGCCCTGAAGCTGCCTGTTCCCTGAAACCTAGCCATGCCCACTTTCTCAGCCAGGCCCCCTTCATCCATTTATACCTTTCCTCCCAGCTAGGCCGCCTTCCCCAGCCAAGGGCACGTCTCCAGTCAGATCCCCTTGCTCTGCTAGGCATGCTTTCCCTATGCCTACTGATAATGGCCCTCCCTAGTCAGGCCCTGTTTCCTAGCCAGTACTGCCTTCTGTAGCAGCCCTACCCAGGCCCCTTGCCCCAGCTTGTCCCTCCCCAGCCTGTGGCCCCTGGACAGGTAGGCTCTCTTTGGCAACCAGGCAGCCTTCCCAAGCCTGAACTCCTGTCTCTAGTCTGTCCTGAACCATGAAGGAATTCTACCCCAGCCAGAGCCCCTTCTCCTGCTAGGTCCCCTTCACCCAATATCCCTATCTTCAGGCAGGCTCCATGACCCAACTTTATTTTCCTTGCCTAGCCTATGTCCCCTCACCCAGGGCCCCTTTCCCAGCCAGAACCTCTTCCTCAAGCTGTGCCCTCTTTAGCCCCTTTCTTAGCCATCTGACCAGTCTGTGCACACCGCTCTGCCCTCTAACCACTTACTGCTTGGGTTCCCAGCCTGTGTCTCAGTGGGGCTTCCTCCCCATCCTCTACCCCCACTGGGTACTCCTCCTTCCTTCCTCTTCCCAGGCCAGCCTCAACCCCAGCCGGAGCCCATTCCTAAACCTGAGATCCTGCTGACAGGCTCTTTAGCCAGTCTGCCCTTCCACAGCCCAGGCTTCTTTTCTTTTCTTTTTTTTTCTTTTTTCTTTTTTTTTTGGAGATGGAGTCTTACTCTGCTCCCAGGCTGGAGTGCAGTGGCGTGATCTTGGCTCACTGCAACCTCTGCCTCCCAGGTTCAAGCAATTCTCCTGCCTCAGCCTCCTGAGTAGCTGGGATTACAGGTGAGTACCACCATGCCCAGCTAATTTTTGTATTTTTAGTAGAGACGGGGTTTCAATATGTTGGTCAGGCTGGTCTTCAACTCCTGACCTCGTGATTTGCCCTCCTTGGCCTCCCAAAGTGCTGGGATTACAGGCGTGAGCCACTGTGCCTGGCTGCCTCTTTTCAACCCTATGTCCCCTTCCCACAGCCAGGCACCTATCCCCAGCCTTTCCCCTTTTCAACGACACCACTTTTACAAAGAGTTGCCCCTTTACTGGCCTTTCCCAGCCAGCACCTCCTTCCACAACCAGGCATCTTCTCTCTCTCAGCATTCCCTCACCTGCCCAGTTACCATGCAACCTTTCCCACCAGGATCCCTTCACCCACACGTGCCCATGCTAAGCCAAGTCCACTTCCCCGGCTAGGAACCCTTTCCTAGTCTTGCCCCTCCTGCAGCCAGGCTTTCCTCACCCACTATGCTCTTAGCCCCAGTCTGTGCTCCTTTTCCCAGGCAGGCCTCCTTCTGCAGCCTTCGCCTTCCCAGCCTCCTTGTCCAGCCTATTGCCCCTTCCCTAGCCAGATCCCATTCTTATCCTGTGTCCCCCTCCTCAACTAAGCCCGTTTTCTCAACCACGTGCCCTTTCTCAGCCAGGTTCCCATCAAGGGCAGAGCCCCTCATTCCCAGGCATGATCTCTTTCCCAGCAAGCCCTCTCTACCTGCTAGGCCCCCTCTCCCAGCCAGGACTACTAACCCACCTATGATCCCATCTCTAGCCTATGTCCTTCTCAGTATTCAAACCTCTCTCACCACCATGTTCTTTTTCTTAGTCTGTGCTTCCCTCCCCCGCCCCTTCCTCTGTCAGAGTCCTCCTCTAGTCAGGTAACCTTTCCCTGTCAGGGTATTTTTACCCCCACTATCCTCCTTGCCCCGCATCCATCTGTCTTCCTTGGCTTGTGCCAGACTCTCAAGACTGTGCTCCCTTTACAAGATGGGCACACTATCACTTCTGAGACCCTTCCTCAGCCTCACCCTCTCTGCCAATCTGTGTCCTTTTTCCTCAGTCCATGTCCTTCTCCCCAGCTTACGCCTGCTTTCCTGCTAGATCTCCTTTCCTGGTCTGGTGTCTTCTCTAGCCTGGACTCCATTGCACAGCCCATGTCCCCTCCCCTGGCCAGGTGCTCTTCCCCAGCCTTTCCCCTCATTAACAGCCAGGGACACCTTTCTCATCCTTTGGCTCCTAACAACTGGGCCTTCCTTCCCTTGACCAGCCAGTTCTTCCCTAACGAGCTCCTCACCCCACTCACCTTATTATCCCCTTCCCAGCTAGGCTTTCTTCCCCAACCCATGTCCCAGTCCACAGATAGATTCCCTTGCCCAGCCTTGTCCCCTTCCTCTACCCATGCCTCCATAGCCTGTTCCCTCTTCCCCAAGATCTTCCTCCTTGCCCTGCCAAGGCCACTCCCATGCTTGGCCCCTTTGGCCACCTAAGGCTTCTCAGCCTGGCCACCTTTCCCAGCCAGTGTTCCCCGACAGGTCCCCCCTCCTCCCATCCCAGCCAGGCTTCCTTCTCTTTCCATGACTCCTCCACACCATATAGCCCTTCTTCAGTCTGTATGTCCTCCCCAGCGATGCTCCCTTCCCTGTCCAGGCCCAATTGCTCAATTCCCTTCAATTCCCCTGCCCAGGCAGGTTGCCTGAGTTAACTAATTCAGTAGCCACAGACTCCTTCCTACCAGAGGTCTTCTCCCAATGAGCTGCCCCCTGGTCAACCTATTCCTACAGCCAGTGCCTCTTTCTTGGCCCAGCCCCCTTTCCTACCCTTTTCTCCACCCACCTACACCACTGCCAGGATCCCGTCCCCAGACTGTAGCCCAGTTCCCAATCAGCTTCTCTTCCCAAGCCAGGCCCCCTTTCTCTCCTCCAGCCTGCCCCAGCTAGGCCACCTTCTCTTACTGCCCTTCACCAGCCCACACCCCAGCCTCCAGCCTGGACCCTTTCCCTTTGCAGCTCTTACCCTATACAGCCCACTGAAGCAGAGCACTTTTCCCATTTCTAGACCCTTTCACCAGCCTTTGCCCCTGTCCCCAGTTAGCAACCACCACCGTGCCCCCCCCAACAGGCCTATGCTCCCTGACCCTCCAGAATTCCTTTGCTAAAGTAGATCATGGGACATAAACTCTATAGGAAGTCAGTTACACAAAAAAAGAGAAGCAGGTATTTTTTAAACGATTTTTATTTTTGAACAGATTACATGCTTAAAAACTGAAAAACATATATTTTATTTTAGAGCCTTTGGAATGTAGAAAGAATTTCCAAAATTAACCTCACCGAATTACAGAAAGTAAAGATTAAAAGTTTCATAAGTTGTTGACTGCCAATCATTTCACTTTTATATTATTTTGTGACATTCAGGGATATTAACAAGTCTTAAATAACAAAAGTACATTGTTCACTTTTTTGTTTCATGTCAGTTATTGATGTAACAAGATAGAGCAGAACTTTAATATTTTAAATCATCTTTTAAGCTATTTTTCTATCTTTAAGAAATAAGGAAAGTTATTACATATTTATCTTTCACACTTTATATACCTGTTGATATAACAAGGTGGATCAAGTACTTGAATAAAGTCATAGCCTTTTATATCCTAAGAATAAAGGAAACTTACTAGATTCAGATCTTTACCCTTTATAGTAAGTAAATTACGCATCAATGTGTCTTTTTTTTTTATGCCGGTTGTAAAGATAATGAAATGTATCAACTATTTGAATAAAGTCATATCTCTTCCTACCTTTGATAAAGGAAATTAACTTTAGATCTTTCACATCTTAGAGTAAACCTTATCTAGGCTATCAGTTTATCTAAATTTACGTTCTCTATTTAACAGATTTACCTTACACGTTTAACAAATGCTGTTATTTAGAATTAGCAAACATCTGAGCAACTAAATTAGGAACTACACAAGTTTTGATGAAAAAACAAAAAGTAATAGCAGATCTCTTGTGCATAACTTGAGACATCTCCTGAGTAGCCCAACTTAAGTAAAAAGCAAACCACGACAATCTTTTCCCCCAAAACTCAGCAGAAGGCCTTCCCAAGGCATTTCAATCACAAACTCCCAAGTTTGTCTAAGTAATCCAAGATATTCATAGGAAAACCTGAAGACTCCCCGAGCTAGTCTACTAGATTTATTTTTCCCAGAACACGTGAAACCTAATAACTTAACATTTTCTTTTTTTCTTTTTTTTTGAGACGGAGTCTCGCTCTGTCTTCCACATTGGAGTTCAGTGGCATGATCTCGGCTCACTGCAATCTCCACTTCCGGGGTTCAAGCAATTCTCCTGCCTCAGCCTCCCAAGTAGCTGGGATTACAGGTGCCCGCCACCACTCCCGGCTAATTTTTTATTATCCTTTTTTTTTCTTTTTTTCTTTTTCTTTTTCTTTTTTTTTTTTTTTTTTTTTTTTTTTGAGGCAGAGTCTGGCTCTGTCTTCCAGGCTGGAGTGCAGTGGCTCACTGCAACCTCTGCCTGCTGGGTCAAGCGATTCTCCTGTCTCAGCCTCCCGAGCAGCTGGGATTACAGGCGCCTGCCACCACGCCCGGCTCGTTTTTGTATTTTTTGTAGAGACGGGGTTTTGCCATGTTGGCCAAGCTGGTGTCAAGCTCCTCACCTCGTGATCCGCCCGCCTCGGCCTCCCAAACTGCTGGGATTACAGGCGTGAGCCACCGCGCCCGGCCAGCATTTCCATTTTTTATCCTAAGTTATACTCAACATGACCAATTCTTAGTTGGGGAGGGAGGTAAAGACCCTTAAGGGCAAGAAGAGGTTAAACTTATCAAACATATGCTCCTCCGGTGGTGCAATGCAAAGATTTCCCTCAAATTGCCAGGGAATTTCCCTGGAATTTCACTTCCCACCTTGTGAAAGCAGCAGAGTAGGAAAGTGGGGGCGGGGGAGGGTAGTTTTGAGTAAAAGGAAGGAAAAAACTCAGAGAAAAGCAAAGGGGGAAAATAAACAGCCTACTGAGGAGATGCGGGGATTGTGACGCAGTTGGGCCTACTGGAGACGCGGGGGCGCCGATGTGGCCCCGGCGGCCGCAGCCTCGGCCTGGACCGGCCTCACGGAGTTGTAGTGCTCGCCGAGGATGCAGGCGTAGTGCAGGTAGACCAGGATGATCGGCTTCTTGGTGTACTCCTCCCCGATGACCACGGTGGGCGAGTCGGCCTGGATCACCTCGATGGGGGTCTTCAGGACGTGTGACAGGGCCCTAAGCTCCAGCTGGCCTCCCCACATGGTAGAGTGCGCGACGTTGTCACAGTAGCTCATGAAGTCGTCGTAGCCGAAGGAGTCGCCGGTCTCGGTGTTGCCGAAGAAGGGCAGGAACTCGTCGACCTGCTTTTGCATGTAGCTGGCGGCGCGGGAGCGCAGCGTCTCCACCGACATGGAGAACGCCAGCTGGTCTTGAATGGCGCGATACATGCAGTGGCCATCTGCTGGGATCTGTTTCATCTCCAGACCCCTGGCCTTCAAGATGGCGGCGAGCTTCTCCTCCTCCTCACGCCGGAAGCCGGCCAGGTGCTCCATCTCGGCCTGGAAGTTGCTCCCCCGGTGCTCCGCCTCCGTTCTCTCACGCTTTCTCTGGGCTTTGCGGGAGCGGGGAGGCTGGTTTTCCAGATCCATCTTGGCCAGGTCTTCGATGACAGCTTCAAAGCTCCTCTCATCCTCGAACTTCTCCAACTCTTGCCGGTGCCTCTGTGCCATCTCGGCCTCCATGCGGGCCACATCTTGGAGTAACTGCTTTCTTTTCTTCTTGTCGGTCTTGGGGACCGAGTTTTTTAAGCTCTGGATCTGGGCTTGCAGCTCCTTCTTCTCCCGTTGGTGGCGACGCAGTATGCGCTGCTGTTCACTGTGTGGATCATCCATGATGTTGAATGGCAAGCGGGAGTTGAAATTTGCTGGCAGTTCAGGTACAGAACAGACCAGAAGTCCTCAGCTCGTCCTAACGGTCACTCTCTTTTACATCAACCTGCTCTAACCGCCGCTTTTGGCTCACCTCATTCACATTCTTCTCTGCTATTGGTCACTTTGTCTCCATGGCCCCGCCCCTGCAAGCATGTGCAGCACTAGGATTGGCTGTTGGGAGACCAGAAATACATGCCCATTGGACCCCACAGCAAGCATTTTTGGTGGGATTCCAATAAGGACTTCCTGCAATGTGTGTCGCAGTTAGGCTTGTAGAGTCTTTCCATGACTGACAGCCCACTTCGTTTCCAAGTCTGCACACAATGTATGCACTAGCCAGGCCTGACAGCCACATGACAGATACTATACCATCCGCTGAATGTGCTCTTACTCTGGACTTGGTATTGCCCCTACTGTTGAGGAAACAGTGTGGTTTTCTCCGGTCTTTCAGGTCCCTTCACCAGGGAACCCTTTAATTTTTGTGTATCATAACAAGGACATTTCCTTACATTCCTGCAAACACAGTCCTTTCAGTTAGCCCCACCCCTTTTTTTTTTGAGATGAAGTCCTGCTCTATTGCCAGGCTGAAGTGCAGTGGCACAACCTCGGCTGACTGCAACCTCCGCCTCCCGGGTCCAAGCGATTCTCCAGCCTCAGTCTCCCTAGTAGCTGAGATTACAGGTGCCCGCCACCATGCCTGGCTAATTTTTGTATTTTTAGTAGAGACAGAATTTTGCCATGTTGGCCAGGCTTGTCTTTAACTCCTGACCTCTGGTGATTCACTCACCTTAGCCTCCCAAAGTGCCTGGATCATAGGCATAAGCCACCACGCCCAGCGACAAGTTTTTATTTAGCCATTTTGATAAGGGTAAAGTGATACCTCAGTGTGTGTGTGTGTGTGTGTGTGTGTGTATGTGTGTGTTTGAGACAGTGTCTCACTCTGTCACCCAGGCTGGAATGCAGTGGCTTGATCTCGGCTCACTGTAACCTCCGCCTTGCAGCGCCCCCCCTCCCCCATCCCATTCAAGTGATTCTCCTGCCTCAGCCTCTTGAGTAGCTGGGATTACAGGTGCCTGCCACCATGCCCGGCTAAGTTTTGTATTTTTACTAGAGACAGGGTTTCATCATCTTGACCAGGCTGGTCTTGAATCCTGACCTCGTGATCCACCTGCCTCGGCCTCCCAAAGTGCTGGAATTACAGGCATGAGCCACTGTGCCCAGCCTGATTGTGGTTTTAATTTGTAGTTCCCTAATGGCTAATGATGTTCATCTTTTTATGTGCTCATTTGCTATCTATGCCATATCCTTTTCAGTAAAATGTTTATATCATTTTCTCTAATTTTTCTTTTTTAAAGGATGAAGTCTAGCTCTGTCACTGAGGCTGGAATGCAATGGCATGATCATGGCTCATTGCAGCCTCAAACTCCTGGCCTCAGGTGATCCTCCCACCTCAACCTCCTGAGTAGCTGGGACTACAAGCATGCTCCACTGTGCTGGGCTAATTTTGAGATTTTCTTTTCTTTTCTTTTCTTTTTTTTTGCCAGATTCGTGGCTCAGGCCTGTAATCCCAGCACTTTGGGAGACCAATGGGGGAGGATCTCTTGAGGTTAGGAGTTCCAGACCAGCCTGGTCAACATGGTAAAACCCCATCTCTGCTAAAAATTAGCTGGTTATGGTGGTGTATGCTTTTAGTCACAAACTATTGGTGGGGGCTGAAGTAGAAGGATAGCTTGAGCCTGGGATGCAGCGGTTATAGTGAGCCCAGATTGTGACACTGCACTCCAGCCTAGGCTCAAGTGATCCTTCACCTCTGCCTCCCAAAGTACTAGTATTACAGGCGTCAGATACCATGCTCAGCTCTTCATTTGCCTATTTTCTTTTTGTCTCTCACTCTCTTCCTCCCTCCCTCCCTTTCTTTCTTTCTTTTTTCCTTCCTTCCTTCCCTTCCTTCTTTTCTTTCTTTTCCTTCCTTTCCTTTCTTTTTTTTTCAGATGGAGTCTTGCTCTGTCGCCCAGGCTGGAGTGCAGTGGCATGATCTTGGCTCACTATAGCCTCCACCTCCTGGGTTCAAGCGAGTCTCATGCCTCAGACTCCTGAATACAGGTGCCCACCACCATGCCCAGCTAATTTTTGTATTTTTAGTAGAGACGGGGTTTCACCATGTTGGCCAGGCTGGTCTTGAACTCCAGAGCTCAAGCACTCCTTCCGCCTTGGCTTCTCAAAGTGCTGGGACTACAACGCGCACCATCATGTCCAGCTAACTGTTTTCTTATCTTTTGTAGAAATGGGGGTCTCACTATGTTGCTCAGGCTAATTTTGAACTCCTGGGCTCAAGGGATTCTCTCACCTCGGCCTCCCAAAGTGCTGGGATTACAAGTGTGAGCCACCGTGCCTGGCCAGGATTTTTGCAGGAATCGTGTTCAAGCTGTATATCAATTTGGGGAGAATTGACATCTTTAGTATGTTGAGTCTTCCAGTTTGTGAACACCTGGATGTTATCTTCATTTATATAGATCTTCATTGATTTCTTTCATTGACACTACATAATTTTTAGCGTATAAATCCTGTGCATATTTTGTTAGATTTATACTTAAGCATTTCTCTTTTCTTGACTGATTGTAAATGGTATTGGATTTTTAGTGTTTACATGGTCATTGCTAGTATATAAAAATACAATTTTTTTTTGGTTTATCTTGTATTCTATGACCTTGCTTAATTTGTTTAGTATTTCTAAGTTTTTTCTCCTTGATTCCTTGGAATTTTCTATGTAGACAATCATGTCATCTGTGAAAAGGGACAGTTTTATTCATCCTTTCCAGTAAGTATACCTTTTATTTCATTTTCTTGCCTTATTGCACTGATTAGAACTTCCAGCACTATGTTGGATAAGAGTGGTGAGGGCAGACATCCTTGTTCTGTTCTTGATCTTAGGAGGAAAGAATTTCATCTTTCACTGATAAATATGATGTTAGCTGGGATTACAGGCGCCTGCCACCGTAACATTTTTGTAGGTGTTATTTATCTAGTTGAGGTCTTTCCTCTCTATTCCTATTTTTATGACAGTTTTTGACATGAATGGGTATTGAATGTTGTCAATGTTTTTCTGTATTGATATGCTAATATAATTTTTCTTCTATAACCTATTAAAATAATAGATTACAGTGACTGATTTTTTTTTTTTGAGACAAAGTTTCACTCTTGTTGCCGAGGGTGGAGTGCAGTGGTGCGATCTCTGCTCACCACAACCTCTGCTTCCCGGGTTCAAGCGATTCTCCTGCCTCAGCCTCCTGAATAGCAGAGATTACAGGCATGTACCACCACGCCCAGCTAATTTTGTATTTTTAGTAGAGACTGACCAACATGGAGAAACCATGTTGGTCAGGCTGGTCTCGAACTCCTGACTTCAGGTGATCTGCCCACCTCAGCCTCCCAAAATGCTGGGATTACAGACATGAGCCACCACTCCTAGTGATTGATTTTTAAGTATTGAGCTAGTCTTGCATTTCTGAAATAAATCCCATTTGGTCATAGTTTTTCATTATTTTTATATGTTGAGGAATTATTTTGCTAATTTAAAAAAGGATTTAAAAATTTACATTCATGAGAGGTATTGGTTCTGCAGATTTCTTTTTTGGTACTGTTTTGTTTAGTTTTAGTATCAGGGTAAGTACTAATGTTACAAGAAGAGAAGGGAAGTGTTCTCTCTTCTTCTATTTTTTGGAAAGAGGTGTAAAATCAGTAATAATTCTTCTTTAAATGTTTGGTAGGATTCTCCAGTGAAACCATCAGGGCCAAGAGATCACTTTCTTGAGAGTTTTAAAATTAAAAAATATATTTTTTAATAGGACTAATCAAATTATATATTCCATATTGAGTGAATTTTGGTAGCTTGTGTTTTTTGAGGAATTGGTCTGTCTCTTCTGAGTAGTCAGATTTATGTGTATAGAGTTATTTGTAGCATTCCATTTTTATTGTTTGGTGTTTGGAGGATCTATAGTGATATTCTCTGCTTTATTGGTAATTTGTGTTTTCTCTTTTGTTCTTTGTCAGTCTTGCTAGAGATTTGTCAATTTTATCGATCTTTTCAAAGAGGTAGCATACTGTCTTACTGATTTTCCCCATTGATTTTCTGTTTGAAATTTCATTAATTTATGCTATGTATTATACTCTTCCTTCTGCTTGCTTTTGGTTTAGTTTGTTCTTCTTTTGCTAGGTTCTTGAGGTGGGAGCTTGGGTAATTGATTTCAGACTTTTTCTCTTTTTACAATGTGTGCACTTAGCTTCCTTCTCAGTACTACTTTAACTGGTTCTTCCATATTTTGATATTAGTTTTCTTTTTCTTTTTTCTTTTCTTTTCTTTCTTTTCTTTTTTTTTTTTTTTTTTAAGATGGGTGAGTCTTGCTCTGTCACCCAGGCTGGAATGCAATGGCGCAATCTCGGCTCACTGCAACCTCCGCCTCCCAGGTTCAAGCAGTTCTCTGCCTCAGCCTCCTGAGTAGCTGGAATTACAGGCACTGACCACCACGCACTACTAATTTTTGTATTTTTAGTAGAGATGGGGTTTCACTATCTTGGCCAGGCTGGTCTTGAACTTCTGACCTTGTGACACACCTGCCTTGGGCTCCCAAAGTGCTGGGATTACAGGCATTAGCCACAGCACCTGGCCAATAGGTTTAGTTTTTATTATCCTTCATGTTCAATGTTCTTTTTGGTTTTCCTTGAGACTTTTTGGCCCATGGATTATTAACAAGTGAGTTGTTATCTTCCAAGTGTTTGTAGGTTTTCCTGTTATCTATTAATAATTTCTACTTTGATTCTGATATGGTTTGGGTCTGCATCCCTGCCCAAATCTCATGTTGAATTGTAATCTCCTATGTTGGAGAGGGACCTGTGAGAGGTGATTGGATCATGGGGACAGATTCCTCATGAGTGGTTTAGTACCATCCCCTTGGTACTATCCT